CGGTATTGGCATAACAAATAGGAATATTGACCAATGACAGAACTGAAATCACTGATATAAAAACATCCTCATATAGCCATCTATATCTTTGAAACAGCAGCAAAAAAATATGCTGGGGGAAAAGAATCCTTTTCATAAATGGTGCTGGAAAAACTGGATAGCCACTTGTAGGAAGGCTAAAGCAGGCCACCACTTTCACCTCGTCACAAAATCAACTCACGGTGGAAACCAGACTTAAATAAGGTACAAAACTATTGATCTAGGAAAAATGTTGAAACCACTACTTCTAGACATCGGTCTAGGCAAAGAGTTTATGAAGAAGTCCCAAAGGCATCACAGCAGCAACAAAATAAAAATGGAAAACTAAAGCTTCTGCACAGCCAAAGAAACAGTCATGAGAGTAAACAGACAACCTACAGAGTGGAAGAAATTTTTGCATCCTACACATACCGATAAGGGGTTGATACAGAATTACTTAGAACTCACGAAAATCAGCAAGAAAAGTACAAATAACCTATTAAAAATGGGCAAGGATTGAACAGAAACTTTTCTAAGAAGACAGAAGAATGGCCAAAAAACATATGAAAAAATGCTCGACATCTCTATCATCAGAGAAATGCAAATCAAACACAGTGAGATATACTAACTCCAGTGAGAATGGCTTATCAAAAACAACAACGCTGGTGTGAATGCGGAGAGAGAGGAACACTCCTGCACTGCTGGTGGGACTGCAAACTAGTTCACTCTGTGGAAAGCCATATGGAGATACTTAAGCGATACAAGTGAATCTTACCATTTGATCCAGCATCCCATTACTGGGCATCTACCCAAAATCCAATGACTACAAAAAAGACACCTGCACTCGAATGTTTATAGCAGCACAATTCATAATTGCAAGGCTGTGGACAGCCCAAGTGCCCATCAATCCAAGATGGATATAAAATGTGGTATATGTAACCATGGATACTTTCAGCTCTAAGAACAACGGTGATATAGCACATCTTATATTTTCCTGGTTAGAGTTGGAACCCATACTACTAAGTGAAGTATCCCAAGAATGGAAAAACAAGAACCATATATACTCACCAGCAAACTGGTATTAAATGAGCAGCACCTAAGTGGACACATAGGTACTACAGTAATAGGGTATTGGGCAGGGGGATGGGGGGTGGGTTATATACATACATAATGAGTGAGATGTGTACTGTCTGGGGGATGGTCATGCTGGAGACTCAGACTTGTGGGAGGAAGGGGGAAAGGGCATTTATTGAAACTTTAAAATCTGTACCCCCATCATATGCCAAAATAAAAAATTAAAAAATTTTGATGGGTTTGGGTGGGGGAAGAACTTAAAAAGCCTTCAAGAAGGAAGTGGGATTTTGAATGGGGCCTTGAAGGATGACTAACAGCTGCCTCACTGTGGCAGGCAGAACCAAGACAGCCACAAGTGACCCCCATCTCCTGATATTCGTGTCCCTGGGTAATCCCTTCCCCTTGAGTGTGCACTGGCCCAAAGTGACTTGCTTCTAATCCATAGAACACAGTCAAAGTGACCGGATGGCACTTGTCTGTGATTAGGCTACAAGAGGTGGTGATTCTGTTTACTAGCAGACTCTGCCCTTGTGGCTTTGATGAAGACACGCTGCCGTGTGGGAGAGGGCCACGTGGAAAGGAGCTGCAGCCCTCAGTCCAGCAGCCCGCAGGCAACTGAATCCTGTCAGCAACCACAGGAGCTTGGAATGGAATGGCCCTCACCCCAGCCACAGATGAGACTGAAGCCCCAGCTAACACTCTGCTTGTAGCTTTGTGATACCCTAAAGCAGAGCACCCTACAAAGCCACACCCAGACACCTGATCTGCAGAAACTACAAAATGTGAGTTGTTTTAAGCTGCTAAATTTGTGGGAATTTGTTATACAGCAATAGAGAACTAATAGTCATTGAATAGAAATAGCCTTACATGTGGAAGTCATTGTGATCATCCCTTTTTCTGAGGAAGAAACTAAGGCTCAGAGGTTTGATGAACTGTCCAATGTACCAGTCATCTTTTTGGCTGCAAACATACAAACAGACTCTAAATAATGAAAGCCTAAAAGACATTTGCTGGGAGGATAGTGAATAACTTGCTCACAGAATTGATGTAAAGGCCAGAGTTCCAAACTTAAAAGCCAGGCAGGACAAAGGCAAATTATGCAGCAGGAATGACAGGAGGGCCAGGTTTGGGGGCTCCTGTCACCCCTGCAGACAGCAGAATGAATTCTAAACTGCCCTCACTTCTTCACATGCCCAGCTCCAGACTGAAAGCTTTTGGTGGGAGTGCCCAATCACCTGAGCATGGGTCAGTTACATACATGTGGGTGACTGGGATCAGCTCACTGTAGGTGCTCAAGATGGTTTATTGAACTCATCAACAAAAGCTGAATCTGGAATTGTGTACAGACTAGATGGAGGGCTAGCTTATGCCTTAACTGCTCAGAAACCAGGGACAGTCCCAGCCCTTTCCGGGATTTCCAGAATTTCCCATACTGCCCCAGGAGCATGTGAGCCAGAGACAACCAGATTGAATAGTCTAGACGAGTTGCAGTCTAGTGGGGAAACCAACAATGGGCCGCAGTGCCAGGAATTTGCCACCAGAGGGCACAAGAGACTCAGAAATTTACTAAGGGGAAGTGGGGGAATTGGTGCAGCAGATGGGGTGGGTTGAGAAGGCTGAGGAAAGTCTGGCTTGACTGGGGCTCTGGCAGGCTGGGCTCTGGGCACCCAGAGAAGGACTAGCAGTGGTGTGGGTGCCAAGAGGATTTTCTCTTCCTCATGGCCCTGACTGCATCCTCTCCTCACTCTAGGAGCTTTGGGCTCCCCTGGTCTTTGCTCTGTGATCTTGAGAGGACTTTGGACTCTTTCTTTTATGGCATCAATTCTCCAACTGTAAACACTTCCCCCACCCTATCAACCCCAGGTCAGCATTGGTGTGCAGGGGTGGGGGTGAAGGTGAGGTGAGGGGTGTGCCTCTGGCCTTGCAAATGGGGTGGGATTGGGAGGGCAGTAGGCAGGAGGAGGTGGAGTGTGTCTTCTCCTCTGGACTGTAATTTCCAGTGCTTAGCACAGTTCCCAGCACATATTAGGTGCTCAATAAATATTTGTTGGTTGTCAATAATGATTTGATATGGATAAACCACATGGAGGGAACCAAGGCAGGTTATCAGGGTGCTCCAACTCTAAAACATTTCCTGAGTCCTTCCACTTCTCAATAGCCCACTATTATCATCCTCATCCAAGCTACTATTCTTTCCACCTGGACCACTATAATAGCTTCCTAAGCGGTTTCCCCTGTATCCCTTGATCCCAAATTTATTCACCACCCAGCAGCCAGCATGATCTTTTAAAACCATAAATCAGCTCATGCCACTTCTGAGCTTAACACCTTCCAAAGGCTTCTCATTACACTTTGAATGAAATCCAAACTCCTTTCCCCGGCCTATGAGCTCCTGCACTAGCTAGGGCATGCCTCCCTCTCTGACCTCATCTTTCTTCCTGGAGACTTTCTTTCTGTTTCTTGAGCACAGAGAGCTTGCTATTGCCTTAGGGCTGTTGAATTAGCTTTTCGCTCTGCCTGGAATGCTCTTTACCCGGATTCTTTGCATGGCTGATTCCTTGTCATTCAGGTCTCCATGTAAACAGCACTCCCTCAGAGAGACCTCTCTGGACAGCCCAACCTAGGATTCTCCCCCAGCCACTGCCTATCCATTCCTGGTTCTGTATCCATCTATCACACTTATCATCATCAATTGTCTTCTCATCTATTCACTTATTTAATGTCTCCTCCCACCGGAAGGCAAGCTTCATGAGAATAGGGATCCTGATCACTAAGTTCAATTACTGTATCCCCAGCATTTATTAATAGAACAGTGCCTAACACACAGTAGACACTCAATAAATCTTTGCAGGATGAATGAACAATGAGGACCTAAGGGGATGGGGAAGGGAAGTTTGTATGCCTCTGGAGCTGACAGTTGATCATTCCATTCCCATGGGTAGTAGTGGTTGTGGGACTGGAGTTGGCCAAGGCCTATTCCAACCCTGGGACCTAGAGGAAATTGTGAGCCACTGGGATGGTGGTGGTGGTAGCAGTAATCATGTCAGGGGTAGTGAAACAGACAGGGCAGATTTGCTGCATTGAATGAATGTAGGTTTTTATATATTTTTCTTACTTTCAGAAAATAAAATATGCAGAAATCTCATCTTGAAGACCAAAATGTTAGGGAATGGTTATTTGCACTGTAAAAAGAGTCCTTGCTTTGTAAAATGGCATAGGCAGAGGTTAGCTTAGCTGTTACCCAAACAACCCAGGGAAAGTTCAGGGAACTCAGCCTATCCATTAGTTATATTACAGGGTGTTTTTAACACTGCATATTTATTTTTATTACACATATGTATATTTAGAGACAGAATCTCACTCTATTGCCCAGGCTGGAGTGCAGTGGTGTCATCGTAACTCATTGCAACCTCAAACTCCTGGGCTCAAGAGAACCTCCTGCCTCATCCTCCCAAATATCTGGGACTACAGGCACATGCCACCACCTCTGACTAATGGGGACTGTCTATGTTGCTCAGGCTGGTCTCAAACTCCCAGCCTCAAGCTATCCTCCCACCTGGGCCTCCCAAAGTGCTGGGATTACAGGCATGAGCCACTGTACCTAGCCAACACTGCATATTTATAGTGTTGTCCAAATGCACATATGGCTGTATGGAAATCCCTGTAGAAATTTCCTCTTTCTAAAAATGAGAGGTTGAGAATACATCACTCTTGTGACTGTGGTCTGTATTATAAAAACCAAAAAGGTTACTGAGACCAAGCTAGGCTTGAGAAAAGTAGAGACAGTTTCTACTCACTGCCTCTTTTTTTCTTCTCTCTGTCAGAGTTAAAACCTTCCAGTTAATCCTGGATTTGCTATTTATTTTCTACTCTGGGATAAGGAGGTCCTTTCTGAGTATTTTACTTACTGCAATATTCTCAAACTAGGCTCAGCAGGGCTGGTATTCCACAAACTGGATGAAGGTGCTTTGCCATGAAAATTGAATAGTCATTTTGCCCTAGTGCAAAGAAAAAAAATTAATAGCATTTTCTCCATTTTAAAGTTTTTCCATATTTTTTTCTAAAACTTTTGGTGTCTGCTATTCTCAACTCTTTTAGTTCTAGTGTAGCACAAAATACATGCATTGAGTTATTTCAACATTTTAATACTTCATCATGTTCTGCTATGGGTACCATTTCTTTAAGTGGGTCAAAGTCTCAGAACCACTCTCTTAGAGCCTCCATGTTTCCTACAAAGCTACTCCCCTACAAACTCTTTTAAACAGGTTTGGTGCATTTTAGAGACATAATTTGACAAAATCATGTCTGGAACAGGTAATCCTCCATCATGCAAGGGTTTGGCAGAAGGCCCAAACCCTAACCTGCTGGTCTAAGGATTCCCTGGCCCTTTGATGTTGGTCAGTGGCAGCAGTTTTCACACTTTTCTGGTTCATGGAATCTAGAGGTTAAGGGCCCACTGTCCCCAACCGACAGTGTACTCCCCATAGTCAAATGGGAGCAAAGCCCACCCTACCAGCAGAAGAATGTCTGTGCTTCAGAGGAAACATTGGGAAAGGACTGGCACAATTCATGTGTGTGATATATACACACATAATCAAAGTGAGGAAGAGTGGCAAGAGCAATACATTATGGTCAGTGGCTATGAGTTTTGGTCCTACTTCTGTCACCAACCAGCTATGTGACTGTGGATAAGTCACCTTGCATCTCAAGGTCTTGGTTCTCTGTAATCAGTATAGCAAAGTGGTTACAAACACAGACCATGAAGCCAGTTTGCAAGCGTTCACAATCTGGATCTACCATGTACTTAATTACTTACTGACCTTGGAGAAACTGTTGAACCTCTCTGTGCTTATTTCTCCCATCTCCAAAGTGGAGAACGGGAGAAGTGACAGTAATAGCATCATGAAGTTGTTATGAGGATTAAATGAGTTATTTTTTGTCAAGGGCTTATGCTAGGGACATAGTAAATGCTGAAAAAATGTACACTATTATAATTACTAAAAGTGTGGCAGTGGAATTAGATCATCTTTAAGATCCCTTCCTGTTCTAATATCCTACAAATATTAAAATTCAATAATTGAGCATTTCCCACATGCCTAGCACTGGTTTGTGTTTCTATCTATAAAATATGGGACTAGAATAACTTTTTAAGGTCCTAGTATTCTGTAGTGCTAGAAATAGATTTGATGGTGGGGATCAAAGAAAGGCAGCCCCTGGAATTCAGGGGGCGAGACTAACACACGAGCCACACACTAGAGTAGAGGCGGCCAGTGTGACTTAAAGTGCTCCGAGAAGGACCCCTAGCATATTTCTCCAGCTAACTTGGTTGGTGTCCAATTTTTTTTTCATTCCAAAGTAAAATGAAGGACAAAGCCTTCCATTCCACAACAAAAAATTTCATTTTATAATGCACACATTTATCTATTTCAATTGTCTTTTGCATTTTCCCTATGTGGCCCATAAACACATTCTTCTAAGAGTAAATTGTAGATATACCTGATCTTAGTTGGAGAGTTCTCACCACTGGCTACTTGAAGAGAGAAGTCAGGCAAAGAGGGGCCCAAAGGTCAAATTACAGGCCAGGCCTGCACAATTGAGAACCATACACGCAGAATAAACTATCACTTTCCCATTTTTGAACATCATAACCAACATTTCTTGCTCTGATCCTAAAAATCCTATAAGGAGGACAAAGCAGATGGTTTTATTCCCATGTCATAGATGAGGCTGCAAGAGAGTAACTGTGATTTGCCCAGGGTATAGAGTTTACAGTTATACGTGGTTGACAAGTGATGGAAATGGCTTTCCTCTTTCCCTCTTTTCCTTGCCTCAAGTTCTGTCCTGGGCTCAGGAATCCCAGTGGGGACTTGGTGTGGAAAGAGTTGGGCCTTGAAGCCCAGGACTGCAGGGAGGGGCTGGGGCTGAGGAGGGAGCAGCTTCAGATATCAGGGTTGTGGGGCCTTGGTGGAGGAAGGGGCTGCCTAGGGAAGTGCTGGATTGGAAGGAGGAGCTACAGATCTCCTTCAGGGCATGGGGAACCGACCTCAAAGGGAAGCCAAGGCAGGCTGCCTTCTTCCCAGTTCTGGAATGGCACCTCCTCTAGAGTCAGACTCATCTACATCTTGGGAATTAACCCTCTTCTCCTTTCGGGTTCCACCATCATTCTAATCCTCAAGGGGTTAAAGCAGCTTTCACATGATTTTCCCATCTCCCAGGTAACTCTGGAGGCTGCTTCCTGTTGGAAATAAATAAAAGTCCCAAACAATTTCTCAGTTAGTGTAGCTAGCAATGCACTCCAGCAGCACCCCTCCCAGCCCCCAGCAGAGCAGCTCAACCCTTTGGGTAAAAGGTGCGGGGGTGGGGGAGTGGACTCTGCGGGTTGGCAGGTGCGGAGGGAAGAGGCTCCTCCACAGAGAGGCTGGGGCTGGAAGGCAGCGAGGACAGTGCCCCTTCTCTCCTCCTGGGCTCTGGGGCAGCAGTTTCGAGTCGGGACCGGTGCCCCAGAGGGTGGGGAGAAGAGGAAAGAAGTGGTGTGCGGGCAAGCAGGCCGCACACACCTGGCGCCTAGTGGAATGAAATCTTAATTAATTATTAAACTGAGTTCCCGCGGGAGGGAGCAGCCGTGGCAGGCAGGGCGGGTATGGCAGGGTGGGGGCTGGGCTTGGGGCAGGGAGTCAGGGAGGGGTGAGGAGTGGGCGCTGGGCTCAGGCGAGCCCCTGGGGACCCCGACAGGAAGGAAGCGGACCCTCGGTGGGCGGGGCGGGGGTAATCGCTGTGAGGGGTGGGTTTGCTGACACACTTGGGGACCCCTGGGGTGAGGGTGGGAGGGGAATGCGGGAGGATGCGGCCTGGGGGAGAAGGGGAGGGGGGGACTACTCGGTCCCCTCCCCCCGCACCCCCCTGGGGTCTGGGTCCCAGAACAGTAGCCGCTTGTCCTCCCAGGACTGGGGGAGGAAGCGGCCGGAGGAGAGGAGGGGGCGTGCGGAGGGAGGGGTCCCATTCTTCGGTCTCCTCCACCCCTACCCAATTCCTCGGGCCCGAGTGGGCCACTCTGCGCCCGCTGCTGGGGAGGAGGAGCGGGTGCCCAGACAAAAGGCGCTTGTGCCTTTAAGGCGGGGAGTCCGGGAGCCGGCGGGGAGGGGACTTCTGGATCCGGGGTAGAGGGCGGCTGCGCTGGACAACAAGGAGGGGGCGAGGGCCGGACGGACGGCGGGGCGGCGGGCGGGACGGCCGGGACGCGCGGGCACCGAGAAGGACCGCGGGACGGCCGGCCGGCCGGCCGGAGCCCGCGGGGGCGGCGGGGCGGGGGCCCGGGGGAGGCGCCGACCCGGGCCGGCAGGTGAGACGCGGCGGGAGCGCCGGGGAAGTGGCTGCGCGGGGCGCGCGGTCTCCGCCGGGCTGGGGCGCACCGGCGCAGCTCCCGCCGAGTTTTTTGGTGGCGGCGCGGGCGCCCGGGATGAGCAGTCTCGACGGTGTTCGTGGGGAGCCTGAGGCAGTTGAGGTTGTCCAAGGGAAGTCGTGGAGGAGACGGGATCAAGGACTCCGAGGTCCGGGCGCGAGGCTCCCCACCCTCCCCGCCCGCCGCATGCTTCCCTTCCTCCACTGGACGCGAGTCCCGGGCTTACCCGGAGGAGGGGAAAGGCGCGTACTGGGGGAGGGGCTGGCCCGAGGTGCTTGTAGCGGGGCTGTGGGGTGAGCCTCCGAGTGTCCGAGTTGGGGTAGAGTGTGATTGTATTTAGGGGCGAGGGAGGCCACCTGGGCAGAGGGAGGGATGTCCTCCGTGGGAGCCCCCTTCTCACCCTTCATCCAAACCTTTGGAATGGAAGGGGTGGTGTCAGCACCCCCCTGCCCCAAGGCCTGCTGCAGGGTGGGCAGGGGCGCAGGTTCTGGGGCCTGACTGAAGTGCCAGAGGTGAAATCGGGCAGTGGGAGACTCTTCTGCCATATCCTCCCCTTACCAGAGTGCCCCTGTCAGCGAGAGGAACCTGGTGGGGGGTCTTCTGGTTGGGGTGGATTTGGGAGCCCTCTGTAGTCTTTAGGGAGAGTGGGGACTGGGGAAGGGAGGACAAGGCAACAGGCACTGAACCTACAGATACAGGCCCTGGGGAGGCTCTTCTACATCTGGAAAGGCCCGGAATTGAGGCATGGAGGCCCATGTCCCAGTGTGGTGGGCGGTGCTGGCACTGTTGGGCCCCGCCTGGGCAGTGCCTTCTGCTATGAACTTTCTGAAGTCGTTTTAAATGCCCTGGAGCTTTCTTTTGCCAAGCAGGGCAGGGGCAGATGGGCCCTGGGGATGGGATGGACAGGAGGTGGCTATGAAGAGGGTTTGGCGAAGCAGTGGGCAGGTCAATCCTTAGGGCTGGGCCTTGGCCTGCTCCAGACTGTGGTCTCAGACTGAAGGATCAGGGTTTGGGAGGGACTTGAGGTCTGGGTGGCACTGGGCCTCAGGCTTCCAGGCTGAATGGGACATGGCTCTGGCTGTGGGAGCCGGAGGGGCTTGGAGCAGCAGATCTGTGTGCATGTGTGTGTGAGAGAGAGAGTGAGAGCAAAGGGACCAGGACTCAGGGGAGGAGAAGGTCGGAGGCACAAGGCTTAGCCTTAGGAGCCTGACTCTGGAGAAGAGGGAGGTGGTCATAGTGATGGTTGGAGGACCATATAGAGAAGTTTTGTGGCTTGGAACAGTGCCCTCCCCTGTTCCCTGCTATACTAGTCTGGCACAGAGTGCCTGGAGTGTTGGGAGCCTGGTGAATTCTCCAGGATGGGCAGTGCCTGGAGTGCAGCCCAGGGTGGGATAGTTGCAGTTGGTTGGACAATTACAGAGCTCTGAAGCTATCCCCTGGGGGGTCAGAGTGTTCTTGGGAGGGTCATGCATTCTCCTGGACAGTGTCTGTCCCTTCCTCTGTGGATCTGAGCCAGATGCTAGGATGTGCTTCCAGGGGGCTGGGAACATGGCCTTTGGGAACAGAGGTCTGGCTCAGTGGTAGTGGTGTGTGTGTTGGGGGTGGGGGTAGGGGGGCAGATAAGAATAAGGCAGGGGACTGGCAAATGGGAGAAAGCTAAAGCAAAATGTCACAGGGGTGGGGGTGGTTAAAAACCTCACTCTGGGCTGTGTCGCCAGCAGTTCTGTGGATTGACAGCTGAGGACACAAGGACTGATAAAACCAGGCATCTGACTAGCGGGAGTGATGCCTATTCTTGCTCATGACTTTCTCATTTTTCCATCTCTGGGACACTGGCAGAGGTTTGGGTTCAAATGTTATAGGGTGGGGGGAAGAACGAATATCAAGTATGTACTTCATGACAGGTGTGACTAGATTCTTTCCTGAGGACCATTATTCCTCATTTTACAGATGAAGAAACTGACACAGAGAGGTTAAATAACTTGTTCAAGGCTGTGCAGTAGCAAATAATCTTGCTAAGGTTTGAAACCTGGTCTTACGCCAAAGATGCTTCTAATGAAGTATTTTGAAGAGCCAAGCTTTCTTTGGTGACCTTTTCCAAATACCAGGCTGACCAAAAGTCTTATATTCCTGATCTGTCCTTCTAGATGGCTATGTTAAGAGGTTGAAGGGCATGGTGCTTTATAGGATATAGGAGAAGGGATGTCCACAAAACTTGGCTGGGGGTGACCTAGGAATGGAGGTTTGGGGGTGCACAGAGAAGTCCCAGCCTGACTTCTGTTTTTTGGGTCCTTGGGTGTCAGTTTAAGTGCTGCTCATCTGGCTTGAGCATCTGGTTCTTTGGCTATCTGTGGCAAGTGCTGGCTGGGTATTGTCCCATCTTGCCCCTACTGAGTACAAATGTCAGTGCTGCTAGCTTGGCAGGTTAAGTACAAGGAGCCCCTCAGGGTGCCCGGTGGGCATGGAGGAGTGTGGCCTTGGTGGGGGCCCAGGTATCCATGGATGACAGTGCTTTCATCCTCATCTACTCTTGGCCTGGGCTCAGCCAGGAGACACAATAAAAGTCTTGTCATGGAGTCCTTCCACCCCAGTTCAAGATACTTTTTCCAGGAAACCTGGGATCCTGGACTGATTTAGTTACCCATGATCTCTGTAACTTGGGCCAGCCATATAAAACTGCCTTGGACCTCAGTTTTTATTTTTCTTTTTGTTTTTTTCCCAGGAGGCCACAGGACCAGCCTTACAGGGTTTTGGTGAAGATCAGATGGAATTAGGCATGTGAAAAGACCTTGAAAAATTTAAAGCACAGAGAAAGTGCATGGGAGTATAATCCACCCACCCACTCACCTACCCATCCATCCATCCATCCAAACAACCATCCATCCACTTAGTGGATATGTATCGAGATCCCACTAAGTGTTGTGGATATATCAGTGAGCAAAACAGGCCAAAATCCTTGCCCTCATGAAGTTGACATTCCAGTTAGAAGAGACAATGAACAAATAAGAACAATGTATAGAATGGAAGTTGCTGATAAGAGCTGTGGAGAAAAAAAGCATAGGGCTAGGAAGAGAGATAGGGAGCCCCAGGAAAGGAGGTTACTATTTTAATAGGGTGGTCAGGGAAAGCCTTGCTGATAAGCGGACATTTGGGCTGGGACCTGGAGGAGCTCTTGTTCAGAGGGAACAGCAAGCACTGGGGTCCCTGGCTGGCCGGGTGTTGTGGGGAACAGCAAGAGGCTCATGACTGGGGAGCAGTGAGTAAGATGAAGACCCGTAGGGTTATCAATATTAGCCATCATTTCACGTTAGCTGCCCCACACCAATACCCTAGGGCCTGCTTTCCCTCTGTCTTTTCAACATGAGTCCCTACTATGAGCTAGGCCCAGTCCTTGGCACTGGGAACAAAGTGCTGAACAAGGTAGATATAATACCTATCCTCACAGAGCTTATAGTCAGGGGGGCAGGGACACACAGTAAAGAAGGAGTGATTTCATTATAATTGCCATGGTCCTATGGAGGAAATGTCCAGAAGAGAAATGGGACCAAACTTAGTCTGGGTGGGGAGCTGGGAAATCTTCCCTGCGGAAGTTACATTTAAGCCGTGACCTGAGGGAGAAGTTGAATTTAGCTGGGTGAAGTGTGCATTGTGTGTGAGTGTGATGAGGAAGGATGTGGAAAGAGATTCCCTTTTGTACAGAGGTCACCGATTGGCAGCTCACAGGCAGAACTATTCCCACAGACGTGATTTATTTGGCTTGCAGTGTTGAAAAATGTGAATTAGTTGCCAACATTTAAAAATTGGGAGATGTTGCATTAAGATCCAGAGTTTTCCTTTAGCTTCTGTTGAAAAAAATCAGAAGGTCAGGCCCCAGTGGGACCATGGGCAACAGTCGGCTGGCGCTGGGTGGTGCTTACCCCAGGCTCAGGGTGTGAACTCTTTCCTTCTAGTTCTCTTAAACCAGGGCTGCTTCGCTCATTGACACAGGCACTTGAGTTTGTGATCGCCAAGAAGTCAGTGCCTTTTAGGGAAGAGGTGAATTTTCAAGTGCACTGGCTTTGGGGTCAGATCTGGGTTAGAGTCTTGGTTTTCACATTTACGTGGATGCTGGATCTTGGGCAAGTTTCTCCACCTCCCTGTGTTCTGGTTCTCTCACCCCTTGAAGGGGGAATACCATTGCCTACCTCAATTTTATGAGGACGGTGTGTATGAAGCATAGTGTGGCAGTGGGAAGTGCTCAGGTAATGAGCTACTAGTAGTGGCAATTAATACCATGTCATTCCTTTCTTCCCTGCAGTATGTCGTGGTTTAGTGGCCTCCTGGTCCCGAAAGTGGATGAACGGAAAACGGCCTGGGGTGAACGCAATGGGCAGAAGCGTCCGCGACGTCACAGGACTCGGGCCAGTGGCTTCTGCACACCCCGCTACATGAGCTGCCTCCGAGATGCAGAGCCACCCAGCCCCACCCCCGCGGTGCCCCCTCGGTGTCCCTGGCAGGATGAGGCCTTCATCCGGAGGGGCGGCCCAGGCAAGGGCATGGATCTGGGGCTGCGGGCGGTGGCCCTGGGCTTTGAGGACGCTGAGGTGACGGCGGCTGTCGGCACGGCTGAGGTGGCGCCCGACGCGGCGCCCAGACGCAGCCGATCCTGCTGGCGCCGTCTGGTGCAGGTGTTCCGGTCGAAGCAGTTCCGCTCGGCCAAGCTGGAGCGCCTGTACCAGCGGTACTTCTTCCAGATGAACCAGAGCAGCCTAACGCTGCTGATGGCGGTGCTCGTGCTGCTCACGGCCGTGCTGCTGGCCTTCCACGCCGCGCCCGCCCGCCCACAGCCTGCCTACGTGGCCCTGCTGGCCTGCGCCGCCACCCTCTTCGTGGCGCTCATGGTGGTGTGTAACCGGCATAGCTTCCGCCAGGACTCCATGTGGGTGGTGAGCTACGTGGTGCTGGGCATCCTGGCGGCTGTGCAGGTTGGGGGCGCCCTGGCAGCCAATCCGCACAGCCCCTCTGCAGGCCTCTGGTGCCCTGTGTTCTTCGTCTACATCATCTACACACTCCTCCCCATCCGCATGCGGGCCGCCGTCCTCAGTGGCCTGGGCCTCTCCACCCTGCATTTGATCTTGGCCTGGCAACTCAATCGTGGGGATGCCTTCCTCTGGAAGCAGGTGGGTGGTCAGGGAGGTAGGGGTGGAGGGCACCCAGCAGGGACTGAGAAGGGGTTTGGAAAGTCCCAGGGGGACACTGGGTGCAGGGATGTCTGGTTACATCTGGGAGGTGGGGCAAGAGGTGGGAGGCCAGACTTCAGGGGTTACCTCCATTTAGGCACTCTGATAGGAGGGGCGGCCCTAAGACCCAAGCCTGCACTCTGTCACCTTGGGCAGAGTCTCTAGCTCAGAGGGCCTCAAACTTTTTAAACAGGGGGCTGGTCCCTCAGTCCATTGGAGAGTGCGCACTGTGGGCCCGGGATGAATCGGCTGCTAAGCAGGACAGGCAGTGGTGGCAAAAACACCTGGGGGCGGGGGGATAAATGTGCTACCGTATGTGGCCTGCTGGCCGTAGTTTGAGGAAGCTTGCTAGCTCTTTGGCCTGAGCCCACTTAAATAGTGCAGTCTGTAGAGGTATATTGTAGGGCTGGAGGGATGTGGTGTTTACCCCCAGGCCGTTGTGGGGCAGAGAAGGCAGTGTAGGTTGTGTCCAGGTCTGGGCATCTCTGTCCCCAAGTTGACACCTGAGATTTAGGCCCTGGTGCCATCCCTGAAGAGTAGCTCTAGAGGGTGATCTGGAGGGATTGAGCACATTTTGGATGGAGCTAGCAAGGGAGGAGTTGCCTGTCTTCTGGACCAAGGCCATTTCTGAGAGGACAGGGAAGATGAAGAGCTGGGGTCAGTTTCCCCTTGGGCTGGGAATAGTTAGAATGAGGTTGGACTGTGGAAGAGAAGAGCTTTAGAGTTTGATCTCAACCCCCTCCCTCTTCCTCACACCAGGCACTTGGGGCCTAGCAGGGCTGCCTGGGGGGTCATCTGCCCTTGCCGCTGCTGCCTCTGGGTTTGTGAGTGTGTGAGGCGGCACCAACAGTGCCAATGTGGAGAGAGAAATAAGGGCGTGGCTGCAGGCAGACCTGGTTGTCCAATGGCCTGCATTCTTTTCTGTAGCATCTTAGACAGCTAACCTCGCCTCTCCTAGCCTTAGTTTCCCAGTCTGTAAAACAGGGATAAAAATAGTATCTACCTCATGAAGTTGCTGTGAGGGCCCCACCCTTTCCCAGAGTGGAATAGAGCCCAGCATGGCGGTGTTGTCTTCTGGGGCAGGAAGGTGTGGGGAGTGCTGTAGGGAATGGTACCCCGTGCAGGGCTTCTGTGAAGTCCCTTTCGGAGAGACATGAGTTGGTGGGGTCTGCATCTCATGTTATCCCCCTGCCCAGGGAGCAGAGACCAGGATGTCTTCCCTGGCTAGTCCTCCAGGTGCTGCAGTCAGCACACCTCACGAGCCCTCTGTTGGCACCCTTCTCTAGAGAGTGCTGTCCTGTCTTGCTCAAGGTTTGAGGGACTAGCCTTTGCCTTGCCAAAGGCTTGTGGCCTGTAGCCCACCTTATCCCCACCCACAGAGAGGAAGTTGCCTGGGGCTCCCAGGATGAAAACGTGGGTGCTCTGGCATGATGCCCTTCCCCGCCCAGCCTGTGCTCCAGAACAGAACGTACCTTTTCAAAAGTAACTTTATAGCCCATTTGTTTGTGGAGCACGTGCCCATAAGGCACTGTTAGACTCTTAAAGGGCCAGGTCCTCCTGCCTTTACTAGCCCCTGAGCAGCTTTTCCAGGTTGGCTGTCAAGCTGGATTTGGGAGCTGGACTGCCCTGCCAGAGGAGAAGGAGCTTAGGGGTAGTGCCTTCTTTTCCCCTTCTTGTCTGGCCGGCAGGGGGTGAGATAGGGTGGCCATCTCTTTCTTGCCCTCGGCTGGCGTGGTGCCCAGAGCCAGGTCCGGTCCCTGACTGGGGGGGGCACAGTCCCAGGGAGGCCAGCACTGTGCCAGCTTCTCCCCTCCTAAGGGGTGCCTGGCTATAGCCTCACCTAGTGGGTCTTGGAAGGCACATTCTTGGGGTGGTAGAGAAAGTCACTGCTGCCACTATGCCAGTCCTTAGGGCCAGGGCTGCCCATACAGCCTCCTCTGAGCTGAGAAAAACCCCCTGTGCCCATTTGTGCTTGTGGGTGTCTGGATAGGACCGGGGCTTGTGGCCTCCTGTGCAGCCTCCTCGGACAGGAGGAGGCTCCTTCCCAGAGCTGGTCCTACTCATGCTCATAGGAAGGAATCTTCATCCCCCACCGGCCCACTCATTCAGACACGCTGAGCAGTGTCACTCAGTGACCCTGGCCCAGCTTGGCGTCTCCAGTGGTCCCCTGGCATCCATTTTTTCTCACAGTCAGATAGGGATGTGTGTGTATACAGAGTTATTTCAGTCTCATCCCCCTTCCCCTTCCCTTGCCGTGACTCACATTTTCCTCTTGGGCTCCTGGGGCCAGGAAGGGAAGTTGCCTGGTTTGCCCCCCTTTCTTTCTCTCCCACTGGGGTCTATTCTTAGAAACCCCCAAGGGACACAGTGTGCCCCCCTCTTCACCCCTGCTGCTGGGAGGGGGAGCTCAGCCTAGTCGATCCAGGGCCTCTGAGCCAGACTGGGAAGGGAAGCTGGGAGGCCCTTCCGAGATGATCAGAGCTGGACATGGTTAGCCAGATCTACCCCTCAATTTTACCCAAGAGGAAACTGAGGTCCCAGAGATTAAGTGACCTGCCCAAGTTTGCAGGACTAGTTCTGGTTAAGGGCAGAGCCCAGAACCCCTGGCTTCTAGGTAATGCTCTTTCCCTCCCTTCTACCCAAACTGGAGCTGCTCTATCGAACTCTGAGGTAGAGTTGCAAGGGTTGGGTTAACTCCTGAGTTTCCAGAAACCCTGAGGCCAGCTTCCCTTAGACTTGCTCTCTGGCCAATACTGATGATGAATGGGGGCTGAACACGCCTAGGGTGGGGGCCCTCAGCGGAGGGCCTGGTGGGGCGGATGGTTGGGGGAGCTAGACCTGGTGGGGTGGCCAGGCCAGGCATGGTGAACCCCAACCCTGGGTAGGGAGGGTTCTTTGCATCAGTAGAATTTATGACTCTCCAGCCTGGGCTCTGAGACTGGGCCTCAAGAGCTTGTCAGTGGAGTGAATTGGAATCTTGGAAACCTGGGATGCACCAGACATCAGATTAGGACATAGGCTTTGGAATCTGATCTTGCTGGACTAAAGTCTCACACCAGCCACTACCAGCTGTGTGATCTCGGGCAAGTTACTTAGTTTGTCTCTGCCTGAGTCCCACACCTTTAAAATGGAATATTATTACTTATTTCATAGAGTTGTAAGAAAGATATTAAACATGTACAGAAGGCACCCATAGAATTCTGGCACATTGTAGACAGCCAGCAACAAACTAGCTACCATAACAATAATAATAGTAACTTTTGTTATTAAGTTATATCAGGTCTCAATGACTTTGTTTTGAGAAAAAAATTTTAAAAATAATAAGTTATATCAGGGAAGGAAGGGACTTTAGAGATCTCATCTCCCCTCTTTGGGTTATAGATGAGCAAACATAGGCCCAGAGAGACGAAGCGACTTGTCCTGGGTCACTTATAGGCAGATATAGAGCTCAGGTCTCCTGGGTGCTGTCCTTAAGGAGAACCACGTGCAGAAGAACAGCATTTGTCTTTTGTCTGGGTTGTTTGTGGGGCCGGGCCCCATGACATACCTGGCCCTAGCTGGTGCTTCTGCTCCCAGCAGCTGTGAAAAGATCTCATTTCTAGTCATGGAGTGGTGATCCAGGCAGAGAGCTGGGATCTAGAGCCCTGTGTGTAACATTGCAAGGGCAGGGACAGCTTGGAGACTTTCAGAGTGCCGGACTCTGGCTTCCTTCCCAAAGGCACGCATCCGTAGAGAGCATAGCAAGCTGCGTGCATGTATGCATATGTGTGTGTGTGGGTAGTCACCTGTCTCCCCTGACACCTTCCTGCAGCTTGGTGCGAATGTGCTGCTCTTCCTCTGCACCAACGTCATTGGCATCTGCACACATTACCCGGCTGAGGTGTCTCAGCGCCAGGCCTTTCAGGAGACCCGCGGTTACATCCAGGCCCGGCTGCACCTGCAGCATGAGAATCGGCAGCAGGTGGGGGCTCTTTTCCCTGACCGGGCCTCCCCCTACCTTACCCCTAAATAACTCGTAGCTTGGATCTGCAGCCTTGTCCAACTTCATGGAACACAATGTGAATGGTTCCCCTGGATTTTGCATCACAGAGGCCCTGTGATACTGGCATTTTGTCCTGTCTGAGGGGTAGGAAGGAATAGACAGGAGCACATCTGGGGACCCGATAGGGAGTGGTCAAGGAGGGCTGGGATGTATGTGATGGGGGAGGGTCCACAGTCCAGAAGGGAAGCTCAGGTCTCCAGAGAAGTCTGGGGATGTGGAGGGACCAGGAGATACTGAAATGTAAAGCCAAGGGGACAGTGATGCCCTGTTGGAACCCCTGGTCTAGGAGCGGCTGCTGTTGTCGGTGTTGCCCCAGCACGTTGCCATGGAGATGAAAGAAGACATCAACACAAAAAAAGAAGACATGATGTTCCACAAGATCTACATCCAGAAGCATGACAACGTCAGGTAGGGTGGGGGTGGCAGGAAGCCAAGAGGGGTGGGGGATCTGGGAGTCTTGGAGGGCTACGTGGCCCATCCATCCTCTGTTGTCATCTACAGCATCCTGTTTGCAGACATTGAAGGCTTCACCAGCCTGGCATCCCAGTGCACTGCGCAGGAGCTGGTCATGACCCTGAATGAGCTCTTTGCCCGGTTTGACAAGCTGGCTGCGGTGAGGGTGCTGGGGTTTGGGGGCGGTGCTGACCATGGTAAGAGCATAGCTTTGCTGGCGACAGCTGGGGGTGTGGGGCAGATAGAGTCTGTAGTGAGGGTGGTGGGCCAGGCAGGCTGGCAGGGCAAGAGAATAAAGGTGACTTTCCCCTCCAACTCTTTCCCTTTTAGGAAAATCACTGCCTAAGGATCAAGATCTTAGGGGACTGTTACTACTGTGTGTCGGGGCTGCCAGAGGCGCGGGCAGACCATGCCCACTGCTGTGTGGAGATGGGGGTGGACATGATCGAGGCCATCTCGTAAGCAGTGTCCTGATCTCAGCCTTCCTGGAACCGTCGGTGTCCTAGACTGCTCCTACTATTTGATGTGTCCTCAGGAATTTTCCTTTGTCTTGGCTGTTTCTCTATTTTTGAGATCTGTCTGTCACTGGGGAAAGGAATGGATTTTCTCTAGCTTAAGCAAAAACCCATGTGCACACTTAGACACCAGCCAGCCTGGGTGGGGTAGGGGAGCTGGGGTGGTGTGGGGCTGGGGTAGTAGGGGGCTGGGGCTGGAGAGAACGCCGGCTGTGCAGGATGGAGGCGAGAGCAGTGATTCCTCCTCCTAGTTTAGTTCCACAAGATGCTGCCGGGCCCCTGCTGAGAACATAGTTCTCAGACATTTGTCCCGGAGCCCCGTTTAGCCTCTGCCCATGTCCATCAAAGGCTGTGTTCCCGTCCTCTGCATCTGGGTCTGTCCTTGCCCACTGGGTGCCAAGGGGAGCGGAGGGCCTAGGCTCTGAGCTGGCAGAGGGGAAGAGTGCCAGGAGCTGATCCAGAGCTGCATCCTCCCAGGCTGGTTCGTGAGGTGACAGGTGTGAATGTGAACATGCGCGTGGGCATCCACAGCGGGCGCGTGCACTGTGGTGTCCTTGGCCTGCGGAAATGGCAGTTTGATGTGTGGTCCAACGACGTGACCCTGGCCAACCACATGGAGGCAGGGGGCCGGGCCGGGTGAGTGGCAGAGCCCAGGTGGCAGGGGATGGGAGCGAGGTGGGAAAGCCGGGGTCTCACCCTGCTGGCCCCACACAGCCGCATCCACATCACTCGGGCCACGCTGCAGTACCTGAATGGGGACTACGAGGTGGAGCCAGGCCGTGGCGGTGAGCGCAATGCATACCTCAAGGAGCAGCACATTGAGACCTTCCTTATCCTGGGTGCCAGCCAGAAACGGGTCAGGGCCTGGGCGGGGCCTGGGGGAGGGGCAGGCAGGGAGAGGGACAGATGAAGAAGCAGCAAAGGCCTCCGGCCCCTTCTCTGAGCCTATACCTATGCTGCTGATGCAGAAAGAGGAGAAGGCCATGCTGGCCAAGCTGCAACGGACACGGGCCAACTCTATGGAAGGGCTGATGCCACGCTGGGTGCCTGACCGCGCCTTCTCCCGGACCAAGGACTCCAAGGCTTTCCGCCAGATGGTGAGGGGCCCTCAGCACCAGGGCCTGGGCCGCATTTCCTTGTCTCCCTCGACACTCTGTCCCTTTCCTTCTTTGTTGGGGTTGCTGTCTCCACATATACTTTCTGGTGTGGGGGCAGGAGGGACAGTCTCATCCCAGGGGTCCCAAATTCCCCAAAGTATACGGTGGAGACACCGTCAGCATGGTGCAGGGGCAGGGGAGGGACTGCAGGGTGAAGGCTGGGGCCCTGACCACATTCACACGCTGTCCCTTTTTCCAGGGCATCGATGACTCCAGCAAAGACAAGTAAGTCAGTTTACTGAGGAGGAGGTAAGAAGAGGGGGAGGCACTTGTATCCTGGGATAGGGCTGCGGGAAGCTGGGACCCCCTCTTGCCTGGACATTAGATGGGTTGTGTGGGAACATAAGCCACACCCCCAGCTCTCCCTTCCTCCCTTGGGTGCTGCTCATGCCCTTCCTCATCGCTTCTCACGTGGCCATGCTCATGCACCTGGTGAAGCCATGTCCTCTGCCCTCAGCCGGGGCGCCCAGGATGCCCTGAACCCTGAGGACGAGGTGGATGAGTTCCTGGGCCGTGCCATTGATGCCCGCAGCATCGATCAGCTGCGCAAGGACCACGTGCGCCGGTTCCTGCTCACCTTCCAGAGAGAGGATCTGGAGAAGAAGGTTTGGGGGTTACAAGGGCAGAAGGATGGGCTGGGGGCAGGCAGGGAAGGCTGAGCACAGGTGAGGGAGCAGGAGATGTTTCTGGGCAGTGAGGAGAGGACCACAGAGCAGGGTAGAGATGCACATCAATTGGGCCAACGACTTCTCCCCATTGAGGCCCCTGGCAGTGCCCTGCCCTTGCCACCTGACTCCCCCAGGGCAAGGCCCAGCACCCAGCTTGGCCTCCTCTTCCTCAGTACTCTCGGAAGGTGGATCCCCGCTTCGGAGCCTATGTCGCCTGTGCCCTGTTGGTCTTCTGCTTCATCTGCTTCATCCAGCTCCTCGTCTTCCCACAGTGAGAGCCCTGTCCTTCCCCACTCAGCTTCTCTCCTCCACTTCCCAGAAGCTTTCTAAACACCCACACAAGGCAACATTCCCTGGAGCCTGCACCCCTGCCTGTTCCGGGGGGTGGGACAAGGATGCTCAGATCTTCTGGAATTAAAAGTCTTCCCTGGCCCTGTTCCCCCCAGCTCCACCCTGATGCTTGGGATCTACGCCAGCATCTTCCTGCTGCTGCTCATCACCGTGCTGACCTGCGCCGTGTACTCCTGTGGTTCTGTACGTAGGGGGCTTCCGGGGCTGTTGGGGAGGGCAGGCTGGGCTAGGGCAGGGAGGGGTCCCATGGGGAGAGGGAGGAGAGGGGCACGCCTCTCCTGCTGGGCCCCGTCCCTGGTTGGCCTTCCTCCTTGGCCTATACAACCTCCAACTCTGGGTCTCTTGCTGCCTCCAGCTGTTTCCTAAGGCCCTGCAACGTCTGTCCCGCAGCATCGTCCGCTCGCGGGCACACAGCACTGCAGTTGGCATCTTCTCAGTCCTGCTTGTGTTCACCTCTGCCATCGCCAACATGGTAAGGAGCCGGTGGGAATTCTGCCTCTACTCTGTGCCAGGTACTGCTCTGGGTACTGGGGGCACAGAGAGGAACAAGACACACTTTTGCCCCCAGGGAGCACCTTGTTCTCCCTCCTTCTTGTTCTCCCCACCTCTTATCCTTGCGTGAGAACTTTGGCCCCTGGGGTACCTGGGCATGAACCTTATAACCCTTCCCCTCTTTGGTTACTTTGATATACCCGCTGACTTTTGCAGTACACCTGTAACCACACCCCCATACGGACCTGTGCAGCGCGGATGCTGAATTTAACACCTGCCGACGTCACTGCCTGCCACCTGCAGCAGCTCAATTACTCTCTGGGCCTGGATGCTCCCCTGTGTGAGGGCACCGCACCCACCTGCAGCTTCCCTGAGGTGTCCGAGCAGTGTTCAGGCAGGGCGGGTGTCCTGGCACAGATATTGGCCTTCCTGTGCCAGGTCCTGGGGACCTAGGAAATCATCAGACTCCCCAACTCTAGGAGTAACCAGGGACCCTGGTGTGGTGTAGGGGCTGGGCGTAGAGGATGAAAGATTTTGGGGTTCGAGGGTCATGGAGGGGAGGCTAGGTCAGGCAGGGGAGTGCAGGGCTCTCCCTGCCGGGGGTGCCATGGTCTCTGCCCTCCCCCAACGCTGCCTCTGCCGTCCCTCCCAGTACTTCGTCGGGAACATGCTGCTGAGTCTCTTGGCCAGCTCTGTCTTCCTGCACATCAGCAGCATCGGGAAGTTGGCCATGATCTTTGTCTTGGGGCTCATCTATTTGGTGCTGCTTTTGCTGGGTCCCCCAGCTACCATCTTTGACAACTATGACCTACTGCTTGGCGTCCATGGCTTGTGAGTTTATTCTCAGGCCCTTTAATACCCCTGGGAGCCTCTCTGTGCCCTTATGCCCTTGGAATGCCCCAACTCACCTGTGGGGGAAGGGAGGAGATGGACGAGCTCCCAGCACATGACCCCAAATAGTTTTCCCATGGAAACTCCAGTCCTGGGAAATCCCTGTCTTTAGGCTAGACTTAAAAAACAAATTCCCTCTTGCATTTGCATGATGCTTTCATAGTCACTGTCTTAACCGCCTGTAGGTCACACAGCTTGGTGGCAGAGCTCTGGCTAGGATCCAAAACTTCTGACTCCTGCTTGAGGGCTTTGCCTGGGACACCACACTGGCTTTTTCTCTGCAAAACTCACCCGTGATATGTGGCCATAGCTTGTTGTGGTAGCCTCTGGAGTCCGCTGGGTGTGAAGCCCTGCTCTGCTGCTCATTAGCTGTGTGACCTTGGACAGGTGAGTTAACTTCCCTGAGCCTCAGTTTCCTCATCTGCAAAATGGCAATACAACCTAAATGACGAGGTAGTTGTAAAGATTATAGTAACTAACATTTACTGAAGGCTTAGTATGCCAGGCACTGTGCTAAGCCTTTTACATGTGTTATTTACATCTGATCCTGTTTTACTGATGAGGAAACTGAGGCTTAGAGAGTTAAGCAACTTGTCCCAGGTCACATAGCTGGTAAGTGGAGGAGCCACTAAGAGTAGAAGTTTTCTTAATCTCTGCTCTTAATGAGTAGATTAATGTAAGTAAAATTGCTGGCCCAATGCCTGACTTACAGTATATGCTCAGTAAATGCAGTCTCTGTTTCCCCTTCTACGCCTCCACCCAGCAACCCAGGAAACTTTGTCTCTTTATCTTCCTGCCAGGGCTTCTTCCAATGAGACCTTCAATGGGCTGGACTGGTAAGTGAGGAGGGCTCTGTGGCAGCAAAGGAGAGGGCTGCCAAATGCCACCTTCAGACAATGAGCATCTCTCTGCTTACCCTCAGCCCAGCTGCAGGGAGGGTGGCACTCAAGTATATGACCCCTGTGATTCTGCTGGTGTTTGCACTGGCGCTGTACCTGCATGCTCAGCAGGTGGAGTCAACTGCCCGCCTGGACTTTCTCTGGAAACTGCAGGTGACTGGGTGGGCCTTTGGGGATGAGGGAACCTAGGGGCAGAGCCTGGGCCAAGCCGGAAATGCACCTCTTGCTAGCTGGCTAAGGCTCAGGCCACCCTGAGCCCAGCCTGGTTCCATGCCTTCTCTGTGCCCTTACTTATCCCATGCCCTATCCTCTACCCACCGCTTCACCCCTTCGCCTGTTCTTTTGGCCTCATCTGTCCGTGCCTTTCTTCCTCCACGTGATTCCCTCTGATGCCCACCTCCAAGCCTTGGCCACTGCATCCACCCTTGGTGAATGCTGGGCAATGGGTGATGGGTGTGGTGTCCACAGGCAACAGGGGAGAAGGAGGAGATGGAGGAGCTCCAGGCATATAACCGGCGCCTGCTGCATAATATCCTGCCCAAGGACGTGGCTGCCCACTTCCTGGCCCGGGAGCGCCGCAATGATGAGCTCTACTATCAGTCGTGTGAGTGTGTGGCTGTTATGTTTGCGTCCATTGCCAACTTCTCGGAGTTCTATGTGGAGCTGGAGGCAAACAACGAGGGCGTCGAGTGCCTGCGGCTACTCAATGAGATCATCGCTGACTTCGATGAGGTACTTGTCCGGTCGGCTTGTGCTGGCAGAGAGTGGAGGACTTGGAGACCAGGGGAGCGGAGAGAACTTTGCAAGGAGAGAAGGCCAGGATTGAAAGGGGCAGGTGGTACTGGGAGGAGAAAGGGAGATGTGATTGGATCCAGAGATGTCAAGGGTAGGGGTAAGGGTAGGTAGAGTAGAGGCTGGGACAGGAATGCATGAAGGTGTCAGAGGAAGTAAGGGGCTCAGCCCCAGTGGGGCAGGGCCATCATCATTGAGCAAAAGGGAACATGAGGATCTTTGGGGGGGCTAGGATAGGTACCAGGTGGATGTCATTGAAAAAGGCAGCAGTAGTCTGTGGACAGAGCTCCATGAGACCAAACAAGCAAGATGGTCCTCTGACTAGAGAAACTGGGAGCAAAATGTGAGGAAGTGTCTGGAACACCCAGGCCAGGAATGGGCCATTCATTGTTTTGGAGGGAAGTCACTTGCTCACCCTGGGACTCAGTTTCCCAAAAGGTGAGGGTTGGAATAATTGATACTTAATATCCTTTCTGTGCTTCTGTGTTCTGTGAGTGAGCAATTGCCGTTGGCTGTCTGAAGCTGTGTGCCCAAATCCTGGCCTGGGGTCCTAGCCTGCCTGTTTTCCTGGCTCCTCAGTCCTGTCCTGAGAGCAGCATCTGGAAAGGGGGCCCTTGAGATAGGGAAGTGGAGAAGGGAGCCAAGGCATGGCAGAGAATGGGCACTGGGGCAGGGCTGGGATTGGGCTCATCTTGACAGCCAGGTCCCCTTGTGCTGTCCAGATCATCAGCGAGGAGCGGTTCCGGCAGCTGGAGAAGATCAAGACGATTGGTAGCACCTACATGGCTGCCTCGGGGCTGAACGCCAGCACCTATGATCAGGTGGGCCGCTCCCACATCACTGCCCTCGCCGACTACGCCATGCGGCTCATGGAGCAGATGAAGCACATCAATGAGCACTCCTTCAACAACTTCCAGATGAAGATTGGTGAGAGGGCCTGGTTGCTTGGCAGGTTTTTCCCAGTACCCTCTCTGGGTGAAGCTGAGGGATGGCATCACAGATTCCCCATCAGGACTCCTGTAGGGGCTGGGCGTGGTGGCTCACGCCTGTAATCCTAGCATTCTGGGAGGCTGAGGCGGGTGGATTGTTTGAGCTCAGGAGTTTGAGACCAGCCTGAGCAAGAGCAAGACCTTGCCTCTACTAAACATAGAAAGAAATTAGCTGGCCGACTAAAAATATATAGAAAAAATTAGCCGGGCATGGTGGCGCATGCCTGTAGTCCCAGCTACTCGGGAGGCTGAGGCAGAAGGATTGCTTGAGCCCAGGAGTTTGAAGTTGCTGTGAGCTTGGCTGACACCACGGCACTCTATCTCGGGCAATAAAGTAAGACTCTGTCTCAAAAGAAAAAAAAGAAAAAAGGACTCCTGTGGGGTTTCTTCCCGGTACCAAGTCTGATATTTAGAACAGAGATCATCAGGCACTGTCCTAGACATTTTTGAGCACGTCTTAGTCTTCATGTTGTTATCCCCTTTCACAGATAAAGAGACTTACTCTCAGAGAGATTAATAACTCACCCAAGGTCAAACAACTAGTAAGTGGCTTAGCTGGGGTTCAAAACCAGTTTTATCTAAACTCCAATACCTGTGTCCTTATCTATGGCCAGTCCGGTGAAAGGTGCTTCCTCTCAGATGAACTGGAGGATGGGAGTGATTGGTAGCATGGGTTCTGGAGTTAGACTGTCTGGTTTGAATTCTTGCTGTTCCATTTACTGGCTTATTTAGTAAGTCATCTTACTTCTCTAAACTACAGGTACCTTATCTATAAAATGAGAATAATAATACCTACCTTTTAGAGGTGTTGAGAGGACGGAACAATGTAAAATGCTTGCTTAGAGTGGTTGGCACAGATACTGTTACAGCACAGCTGTCTTGACTCAGGGGAGCTCCTCATCCGATGTCCAGATCTTCCATTCTTTACAATCAGACTTGTCCTTTTTCCACTTTTTTCTCTGGGTCCTTCTAAAGGTGCCAGGAGGTGGGATGACTACCTGGGTTGACCCTGGAGCATCCACTGGTCTCAATCTCTTGTTCTCCCCTTCTCAGGGTTGAACATGGGCCCAGTTGTGGCAGGCGTCATCGGGGCTCGGAAGCCACAGTATGACATCTGGGGGAACACAGTGAATGTCTCTAGCCGCATGGACAGTACGGGGGTCCCTGACCGAATCCAGGTGAGGGGGATGTGACAGGGGCTGGGTGAAGTATGGTCCAGAGGGCTTCCACGGGCCTCTACAGTCTGCTAGGACAGGGGACAGGGTGGCAGTGTTCTGTGGTTGGTGGGGCAGGGATTGGGGGAGGGGAGCTAGCCTGACTAGAGAACCCTTGGGCCCCTGCAAATGCAGCAGGAGGATTCCAGGCTAAGCAGGCTCCCCTCCCACTCCCCCAGGTGACCACGGACCTGTACCAGGTTCTAGCTGCCAAGGGCTACCAGCTGGAGTGTCGAGGGGTGGTCAAGGTGAAGGGCAAGGGGGAGATGACCACCTACTTCCTCAATGGGGGTCCTAGCAGTTAGCAGGGCCCAGCCACAAATTCAGCTGAAGGGACCAAGGCGGGCATTGAGTGGACTCTGTGCTCACTGGGTGGAGCTGTGGCAGGGGGCACCGAGCCTCTAGACCCTGCTGACTGCAAAAGGGAACACCGCAGCAGGCTGTGCTTGGACCATGCTCGTCTGCTCTCAGGCTGGTGAACAAGGGGACACCCAGAGGATTATGCAAGTGACTTTTTTAATTGGGGTAGGGCTGTTTCCTCTCCTTTCTTCCAGCTTTTGGGAACGGGAAGGGGCAGCAGCAGTGGCAGGGAAGCCCTCCTGCCTAAGAGATTAAAATGGCAGCTTGCCATGCCTGCCCTTTCCTTGTCTGGGCAACAGGTTCGGGGCTGGGCCCTTCCTTTCCCTCTTTTTCCTGGGAATATTTTTTACAAAGTCTGGGGGCAGGCATGAGGAGTGCCTATTCCGTGCTTGCCTTTGCTATGCCTGCATCCTCAGCACTGGTCCTGGGCACCTCCCCATCCCAGCCAGGTCCCCCTCCTAGGCACAGGGCAGAGGAGGGAGATGCTCTGGGGACCCAGCTGTGTCCATATTTCAGGGGAATGTTTCCATTTGCCAAATCCTAGTCCCATGATCTGTCCCCAAAGGGGAACAAAGGGACTTGTGACAGCTCAGATTTAGCCTCAGTTCCTGCACACTCCAGGGAACAGGGTGTCTGGCCTCACTGGTACTGTGAAAATGCCCAGCTGAAAGCAAGCATGTGTGCAGGGATGGCAGGAGTTAGAAGTTCACCCGCAGGTGCCAAGGAACAGGCCGGCCAGGGCATGGGCGGTGCCAGATTATGATCTGAGGACCCTGACAGGGGTCAAGATCAGGTCACTCTGCCTCAGCACTCTCTTGCTGTCTGCTGGCAAGGGGGCATGGAGCATCTCTACCCCTTCTGTTGCCAAATGAAAAGGGTCAGGGCATGGAGGAAGATGACCCTGAGCCCAAACCTGTCCTCCCAAGTCTCAGCACTGGGGAGGGCCTGTGTGTTTATGTAACTGTGTGTGCATGTTGGTCTTTGTGTGCATATCTGTTTTCCAGGTCTTTGTGTGTCCTTGTGCTCCTGCTCCTCAGCTCTCCACCCCAGGTTGCCTTTCTCCTGTGGGCCTCTGTCTTCTGGGAATAAGGCAGGCTTTCCTATTTCAAGGGACGTAGAGATGCCCAGGTTGCACAGGAGCAGGATGGGGTGTGGTAGCAAAAAGAGGGTGGCTGGGGAAAGGAGTCCTCTTTGTGCCAAATCCCTAAGTGCCGTTTTGGGGCCACATGTGCAGCATGACTGTCTTCCTGCCTATGGCAGGGACCCAAGCGCCTGCTTGAGCCCCAGTGCTCCATGCACTTGAACTGTATGTATGGGGTTGGTGGGCAGAGGCTCAGGAATTTCCTGGGTTCCCCACATCCTGGGATGTGGTATGCTTTGGGACTGGGCTAGCATGGGATCCCTCTGAGGACCCAGATATTGGTACTAGGGGACAGGGCTGGGGAACCTTAAACTTGGCTTTCCCCAGCCTTCAGCCTGAGTCTAGCATGTTCCTGCCTCCCCAACCCCTGTGGGGAAGGGTTACATGGGCTGGGAGAAGGGTTAGGAGGTTGAACTCTAGATTCCCTTTCTATCCTTGCCATTTTTTTACCCCTTACCCTGCAACCTCGACTCTGGCTTGAATTAGTTGGTGCCTTGGTTTCTCTATCTGTACCTATTTAAGCCAAAGGCACTAGCCTCAATTTTGCTTGAAGATCACTATGTCTTGGAAGTGACAGAGAGGCAGAGGAGAGAGAGTCCACAGAGTCCCTAGGTTTGGGAAATGGAAGGGACAGGCAGCGGGTTTGCCTTTCCACATCCCCTTCTGATGCCAGCTCCCTGTAGAGGCCCTGTTTTGGGCTCAGTACTTCCTGTCTTGGGGGATCTTCATGCATCAGCCAAAAGGGCAATCAGGCACTTCATTAGCCAAGGCAGAAAGAGGGGAAAAAATTAGTTGGTCCAGACAGAAAGTCCACTTCCCTGCCCCTGGCCATATCCCTGGAGAGGAAGGGACTGCTTGGTGCCATGGGGTAAGGGTGAGGATGTAAGTAGACCAGAGTGGGAAGACCTCAACCTTGAGTGACTCGTCTCTTCTTCTTGCGAGCTGGGAGGGGCCTGTCCACACCCTGGCTCCCCATACCACAGTGCCAGCCATGGCCTTCTCTTGGCTACCATTGCCCCTTTCCTCCCCAGTTGGTGGAGGAGTCAGGATGGGAGGCCATGGGCTTTGGTTTTATAATGTAACCACTGTGGGGGTGGAGGGAGGGATGTTGTACCATGTATTTCAGTGAAATATTTAATATATTTAAATACCAATAAAATCAAACTCTTTGTAAAATTCCCTGTTCTCTGCAGCTGTTCTGGGCCCTGGGTTGCGTCAGAGTGGCAGAGCCTGGTACGGAGGCAGCCTCCTGCTCAGGGCTCTGTGGGCTTCTCGTCTGTGGTCAGAGGGCTTCCTGTGACTTTCTCCCTGCCAAGGTGAAGATGCAATGTCTTCAGAGAGCAAGACGACTGGCTCTCGGCTTTTCAGCATCATGAGGACCAGTGTGTCTTCCCAGATTTGTTACTTTGACCCCTGCCATGTGAGGTCAAGACCCCTGCGGTTGTCCCTCTAGTGCTTTGGGCCCGCTCAAACCTCTCACAGAGGTCTGGCTCCTTCAGGAATCTCTTACACATCTGCTTTCACAGGAATCTGGGCATTAGAGTACCACCCTCCCGCTCCCACCCAGTGCACACAGCGACTTCCAGTTCAATCTGTTTACTTTGCCTTCTTGAGCCCTCACATTGGTCATCCATCTGAAGGCAGCACCTTCTCCCCCCTTCCCCCTCTGCACTCCTTCCATACTTCATCTTGTCCGTCTGCCACCATATCCTCCTCAGTACAGACAGAGAGTTCTGTCATTGAGAATAGCGTGATCCATAAACCTGGAAAGGAGAGAGAGGGTCTCAGATTCATCCAGGCCAGGCTGGAGGGTGAGAGGTCCTTAAAAATAGCTGCCAGGACTGCAGAAAGGGCAGGGCTACTCCTGATGGACAGTGACTGGAGGGGTGCAGAGGTGGGCGGAGAGGAAATATCCCCACACTCCCACAGGAATACTGTAGATACTTGTCATACACAAAGGTAAGCCAAAGTCTTTAACTCCTTTGAATGCCACCACTGCCCAGATTCTGGGGCCTGTTTTCTCTGGTAAGACCCACATCTCTCCTGTTCCCTAACACCAGAGATCAGTCTCTAAGAATTTAAATGCGGGAAGGGAGCACTTCCCTTAGGGTCCCCAGCATAACCCTTCCCAGCCTAACCTGGTCACTGGGCTTTTTATGAGACAGTGACGTGGGCTCCATATCCATGGCATGGTTTTCTCTGGACGCACTCCTGGATCATGGGACCGCCAGAAGCTGAAGTTCTGAGCATCAGTCAAGGGGACTCTGAAGACCTGATTGGGGACTGAATGGGTTGGGGGAAGGGCAGGTTACTGAATTCCTTCAAGGTCTGCTCACTTTTCTGCCTCAGGACAGCAAAAGCCTAACCCAGCAACTGGGCCTGACCAGGTACTGAGAGGTCCTGGGAATGTGGTCACCACACCCTGCTTCACTTCCGGATTCCAATATCTCACACCCTTCATGGTCAGATGAATCAGTCTTGGTTCTTCTGCTGCTAGTTAGCTTATCTCCAAAAGAGCTTTCCTCAAATGCTAAGATGGTGGAAAAACAAGTGGTCAACCCACTTGGGAAATGTGTAAGATGGGGTCCACTGATTCATTATTTTTCTTTTTTCTGGGCTACTCATCCTCATTCCCTTCCCTCCTCTTTGAAATAATGCCTTTCTTTGCTCACTGCAGGTAATTCTCTGAAACTTAAAAATGATACGACTTCACATTTAGATACTGCTAATAGATATCATTTGTCAAGTGCCTATCATGTTCTAGATGATAATGTTTTTAACATTTTGAAATAATATCAGACTTACCTATAGTGAAAAATATATTTTTACTATTTATATGGATAAATCTAATTCTACCAGTATACAATGTATATATTTTTTAAACTTAGAATTATAGTCTCATACTCTGGTTTGCTATACAGTGTTTATAAACATTATTTTTTTAAATCCCTAATAATTTTTTGTGTGTATGTGAGAGATGGGGTCTTGCTCTGTTGCCCAGACTGGAGTATAGTGGTGTGATCACAGCTCACTGCAATCTCCAACTACCAGGTTCAACTGATCCTGCTGGCTCAGCCTCTCAAATAGGACTATGGGTGCATGCCACCACATCTGGCTAATTTAAAAAAATTTTTTTAAAGATGCAGTCTTGCTGTGTTACCCAGGCTAGCATTAAACTCCTAGCCTCAAGCAGTCCTCCTGACTCAGCCTCCTAAAGTACTGGGATTTATAGGCGTGAACCACTGTGCCTGGCCCCTAATCATTCATTGAGTAGATGTTATATTTTTGACTTAGTTGTTTTCTTGCTAATTATTAATAAGCTTTAAAGATTTTTTGCTATTAGAAATAACTCAGATACCCCTCCTTTTGCATATAGCTATTTTGATTTCTGAAAGTATTTTAGTTTTTTAAATTAAACTTTAATTTTGAGATAATTATAGACTCACATACAGTTATAAGAATTAATACAAGGAGAACCTGTGTACCCTTTACCCATTCTCCCCAGTGGTAACATCTTACAAAACTATAATATACACTACCACAACCAGGATATTAGCAGGTTGATACAGAACAGTTCCATCACCATCCAACCCGGAGTCACTATTTTATAGGTAGACACATCCCCTTTGGTAATCAATGATCTGTTCTTCATTTCTATAATTTTGTCATTTTAAGGATGTTATGTAGGCCGGGGACGGTGGCTCACGCCTGTAATCCTAGCACTCTGGGAGGCCGAGGCAGGCGGATTGCTCGAGGTCAGGAGTTCGAAACCAGCCTGAGCAAGAGCGAGACCCCATCTCGACTATAAATAGAAAGAAATTAATTGGCCAACTAACATATATAGAAAAAATGAGCCGGGCATGGTGGCCAATGCCTGTAGTCCCATCTACTTGGGAGGCTGAGGCAGGAGGATCGCTTGAGCCCAGGAGTTTGAGGTTGCTGTGAGCTAGGCTGACTCCACGGCACTCACTCTAGCCTGGGCAACAAAGCAAGATTCTCTCTCAAAAAAAAAAAAAAAAAAGATGCTATATAAATGGCATCATATAGTATGTGATTATTTTGGGGATTGGTTTTCTTTACATAGCATACTTCCCTGGAGATTCCTACAAGACATTGCATGTATCAGAGTTTGGTCTGCTGCTAGTGAGCCCATCGCCAAAAGAGCTTCCCGCAAGTGCTAAGATGGTGGAAGAACAAGTGGTCAATATTCCCCAGGCTGTGATTCAAGTTTTATCTTACCATGCTCACCCACCCTTCAAGTCTACTTTCTCCCCCTTCTCTCAGTCTCTCTTCTTGGCTCTTTTTTTTTTTTCCCCTGCTCTATAACCATGCCCCCACCATATCCCAGCCATTCTTTAGGAACTCAGACACATCTTTTCTTTCCCTAGCATAATTCCCACTCCAAGATACTTACATGTCTTTAACAACACCTTCCGTACAGCTTCGTGGTACTTTCTGTGGCTATTCTGGTGCACAGAGTAATTCCCATCTGAGAAGATGTGGGGAAGCCTAGTGGGCACTGGTTCCTTCTGGTCTGAAATGAGAGTAGACTTGTTCTGAGTACTTGGCAAATGGCTTTTTTCTCTGGTTACCTGGTCTCTATGCCAACCAAAATACATGGCAGGGATCTCTCCTAGACACATCTGATTCTCAGGATCTCAGGAATCAAATCGCCATGCCTTTGACAGAGGAGAGGGATTACAAGATCTCCTTTAGCACTGTCTTGCTCTTCCCTGACTCCTTGGCTTTGAGTGGCCTTGTGTTAATGGGATATTGGACAGATGCTTAGGGTTAGTGCAGGTGATAAAGGGCCTTTATTTGGGTGGACACTCCTGGGATTGGCATATTTGTAGAACTTCAAATGGTCTACGTTAAGTGAAGTTACGTTTGAGCTAAGTCTTGGAGCTTAAGGAGTTCATGGGCCAGAGTAGAATCAGGAAGAGCATTTCAGGCAGCAGAATGGCAAGTGTGTTAGAAGCATTAGAGAGGCATCAGAGGGCCAGGTGCGGTGGCTCACTCCTGTAATCTCAGCAGTCTGGGAGGCTAAGGTGGGATGATTGCTTGAGGCCAGGAGTTTAAGACCATCCTAAGCAAAAGCAAGACCCCATCTCTACAAAAAAATAGAAAAATTAGCCAGGTATGGTGGCACGCAGCTGTAGTCCCACTACTTGGGAGGCTGAAGCATGAGGATCACTTGAGCCTAGGAGTTTGAGATTGCAGTGAACTATTATGAAGCCACTGCACTCCAGCCTGGGTGACAGAGTGAGACCCTGTCTCAAAAAAAAAAAAAAAAAATAGTGGCATCAGAAAGTTATCTATTTGATTTGGAACCTAGAGTGCTGGGTGAAGTGGAGGACAGGGGATGGGGCTTGTAAAGTAGTGTGTGTAGTGGCTACCTAGCATTAATCATGTTTGGGAATCACCTCGTATAAAGCAAAACCTATATATCTCACTATAGAGGCCAAAAAGACCAGATCTTCCTTACCCAGCCTCTCTTGCAGCAAGGGCATGGAGAAAGAATTTGGGTTAGGCCCAGCATATCTGCTCCAGATTCTGAATCAAAGACGAGGTTGCAAGGAAGGAGTGGACATACAAAGTGTGATGGAGGTGGCAGCAGCTGCATCTTGTTTCTGGTGGCAGTATGCAGGGCCCAGCATCCTTGGTGCCAGCCATGTCCTCCATAGCATTGCAGGTAGTAGTGTTTATGCCGAACCAAGTCTGCGGCATGACTGTGAGCATTGTTTCCGGTTACTATCCACCGAGCTTGGTTATCCATTCCTCCTATAGCTTTTATGTGCTTCCCAATATATTTTTTAATACTTTCATGTTCTGCTTAAATGGGCTGGATTTAGCTTGCATGTCAGACTCCTAAACAAGAGTGAATACGTTTGAGAAAAATTTAATATACAAAAAGCATGACTTGGTGAAGGGGTGAGTAAAAGAGAGCTGTCTAGGGTGGCTCCCAGATTTCTGTCTCTTGGATGTTCTATCCATCACCCAAGCCAAAAGGGGCTGGGCCCCTTTCCTAATCTCTTCCAATCAGTCTCAGATGCAAAGTGAAATCCAGTTCTGCATCTGATACTTTCTGTGCCTTTGTTCTGTTTTCATGGAGCAGTGTCTCTGTCCCACTCTTCAGATTTTTATCTTTCTTGATTATTGGTGCTTGTCAGGAACTGGATCACAGTTTGCCATTCTCTTTGGAAATTGTTGAGGATTGCTGACTCATCTCTGGTGGTGGGTGGGGATTCGACCTCTGTTCTGGAAGTTTTCCCCCAGCTCCTGCTTTTTTCCCTTCTTCCTGGCTTGGCCCTACTCATTCATCATTTCTGTCCCTCCTCTCTCCCTTTTGCCCTCCCATCAAAATCCACTCTAACATCCTCTGTTTGGGATAATGACACCACCAGAGCAGGGCATGGTTTGAGTCCCCTCCATATACAGTTGAGGACTTGGAGAGGTGGCAGTACTGAAACCCTTATTAGCATGTAGAGTTCTGGAAACCTGGACTGAACTAGGGGGCTGATTTGTACCTCCTCACAGGTTACAGCAATGAGGGGCTATTTCCTGGAAGCAATCTCATTTGAGCTTGGTCACTTGACTTTGAGCAAAGTGGAGGTGGCAGAATATCCATGGACAAACAGATGTAGACTGAAGAGAACAAAGAAGAGCATATGCCTAGTGGTCTGAGCTCAGGTGACAGTGGGAACTCTTTATCTGGTCCTAAGACCTCAAGCTGATTTTCTTTAAAAGTACAGTCAGATGATGTTCTCTATTATCTCAAAGTGTGCAAACAGCAGGTTCCCAGCTTCCCATATGGATGGTTACTGTGTGCATGGAGGTATGTTGGACAGTATCACCCACTTGGATTCCTTCCTCCTGAGTCAAGAGCTGATTGGCATATACTTTACATCCATTTTTGGCAAGCTGGGATATGTTCTTGGTAACCTATACCTTCCCCAAACTGCCAAAGTTTGGAAGACACCTGGGGTGAAGGGTAGCAGGTATGGGTAAGAATCATGCCACAGCTGCTGTGGAAGGGCATGTTCTGCGTAAAGGGAAGCAGAACAAACTCTTTATGAGCAAACTCCAGTGTGGCAAGGTAGACGAATCAATCATTTTGTTGGTAGGTGGTACAACAGAGGTTCTTCACCCACCCAGTTAATACCATGCTTGGTATGATTTTTTTTTTTTAGGTATGATTTTTGTTGGTAAACAGATATGAAGTACCCCGATAGCTTCTAGAACTAGGCCATAAATTGAAGGTTGCTGTAAAACAGCATTTGATATTTTGAATGGACAATGAAGGACATCTTGGGTGGTATAAAAGTATTTGGGTGGATCTTCCACCTGTACAAATTAATGGTGCAGATTTCTTAGTATCGTGGGATTCCCTGTGACCCAGAGGTGGTCACAGAATCTTAGTTATCCACCCCTTTGACCATTGGCTCTGTTTGTTGGAACTGGGTCTGATTGGCCATAATGCTTTCAGGCTAAAGAATTTTTAGAGTGAGTCTACCTTGGTGGCTCCAAGACATCTAACTTCTAGATTAGAGTATTTTGTTCCAGATGCTTTGAACACAGTGGTGATAATATCAAGCACACATTACTTGCAGCTGTCTAGGAGGTAGTGTTGCTGCAGGCAGAGTAATACCACCCTGACTAGAAATACATACAAGGTAAGCTTGAGAGAAAAGGTTATAGTGTTGTATGTAAAAAATGACTCCTGTCTAGGAGGTATATCAAATGTTAGGCATTAATTCCTTGAAGTTGGCTGGAACATTAGGATGTATTGAAACTGGCTGAAGTGTGTTTGCAAGGCTATCTTGTATTTATTGTCTTCCCTGATATGAAGAAATTATCAGTGCTTTGGAAGGAAGTGGACAGAAGCACAAGCCCAGGGAACGGGATCAGTGCTCAGGGCACATTTCCCATATAGGGGTAGTTCTTTTGGCACTCTGTCCAAAAATATCTTCCTTAAAGTGGTACACTTGTTCAGGATTCTGAATATACGGGAAGTAGATGGAGCATGAGACAACAGCAGGACTTAGGGCTGGTTGCAAGCTGCTAATGTAAAGTGGAGAATGTGGACTTTCTGAAGATAATAATAAAAATAGTTAGTGAATGTGCTTGGCATTACTATATAAGGTTGAAACAAAGGAGAAAGAGAAGCATAGAAACGTTTAGTAACTTTCCCAAGGTCACATAAGTAGCATGTAGCAGAGATAAAAGTTAACCCAAGCGGTTTGGCTCCAGAGACCATGTTCGTAACCACCATACTAAACTGCCCCCTGAGACAACCTACAGGGCTTCCAGGAAACACCAAGGACTAAGGGAAAACATGGACTGATAGAAGCAGTACCATGATGGGCTCCCCTGTTTATAGCTCAACGGGGGTCCTATTAAGGGTGTCTGCTCACCTGGAGCAGCCTTGAATTGGGTGGGTGACATTACATCCTTGCCTTGATCCAAAGGCAGAGCACTGCCTCCCTGAGCACTACTGAAATGGGTAATATCATTTCCATACGGTCAGCATTTGGGAAGCAGAGAGGAGAGGAACTTGATGGGCAACTCTACCAGTGGATTGGACCAGTCCCCGTGGGGAAGAACAGTGTAGAAAGGCTGAGCCCAGTGGACGAAGTGACCTGTCTGCTGCAGTACAGATATAGTCACCCACCTTGGAGGTGGGCCCACTCCCTAGGCTTTGGCAGAGTGTAGCTATGAGGCGCATGAGTGCCTTTCCCCTTTAGTTTCATGTGGATAGGAGATGGTGGTCTGTTGCAGTTACAAGCAGTATGGGTTGTTTCCAAGATACATTTCTACAACTTCAGTAGGTCTAGCCGTTTGGAAAGGTGAAGGGGCTTAGAGGATCTGGCCAGCTCATTCTTGGCTGAATTGTACCATTCATACTCCTGCTTGAAACGCCAGAACTACAGTGCCCTCTGCTGGAGTCTAAGAAGGGCATCTCCAGCTGTCTCCTAACAGATGGTTCACCAAAGAGGCAACTCAGAGGCCAGGAGACCTAGGGGATTGAGCAGAGGACATTCCAGCCAGGTTTGGGAAAGCCACATTTTGTGTCCTCTGACAAGACCCAGAAAATGAGAACATAAGTGAGATGTGTTCAGGTTTTATCAAAGACTCAAGGTTTAGCTTTTCTTTGAAGTAACTCGCTTGGAATTGGAAGAGAGGTCAAATCTGAGGAATTGTTAGTGAATTCCTCTGGGAAGAGGAATGATAAGGGCAACTGTGGAGGAAGCTGGAATGAAGCCCTTTGGCTGTGCCCAGCTTGGAGGTCAGGGTGTCTGTAGCTAGTCGCTGGAGAGTGTGGCAGATAGAGGTCATTCGTTTCAATTGTCTCAAGAGAAGAACAAGCATAATCTCTCCCTACTACCCACCCCCACTGATTTGCCTCTGAGACTCCTATCAGTGGACAATATCCCGAGTGCATGGACTTGTGTTATGGTGAGAGCTAGCCTGACCTAAGGTTTCATATAATAAGGCAAGGGAGTTGTATCAGAAAAGGGCCAGATTAGAGAGAAT